GCAGAACGGCGTCATATTGGAGAATGTATCGCATGGACAGCTCCAGGCGCTGTCAGCCGTGCCGGCGGATAGTCCGGCGTCGGCCGGCGATCAGGGGTCTTCTTTCACGGCCGCGTATGTGATTACGCCGCCTCCGGTTATGGAGGGTCGAGGGGTTGTGAAGCGTTTTGGGGCTAATCGAGTTCATGTTGTTCCAATGCACGCAGGTGCTTGCTTTATCTCTCTCAATATATATATATATATATATTTTTTTTATACAAAAGATAAAAAAAATAAAATAAAATAAAATAAAATAAAAGTAGGGATAGGGGCGGTGGATGAAAACAGGTGAGAGGCATGATGTTTAAATAAAATAAAGGAAAGGAAATGAGGGGGACAAAAGTTGGTGGATGGAAATAGTAAAAGAAAAAGAAAGGAAAGAGAGATATGGGCAAATCAATTTGTGTTTCGGGTGCCGTTCAAAAGATGGAATAAAAAAAGGAAAAAGAAAGTTGAATGGGTGATATTATATTAAGAAGTTGGGTCCATGGAGAGAGACTGCCTGAAACAACAGTCTTTTGTGATGATGAATAGATTCCATCGTTTGAAGGGACCAAAGGAAACAAGGGCATCTCTTCAAATTTCCCGAGCTCAGCTGGCTAAGATCTGAATCTCGTGCGGGGGATTGGGATCCTGGTAGACCAAGGCTTAACTCAGTAGCCTTCAGATTCAGATTACTCTTGGTATCCTCCGACCCCAACCCAAATCAGCGAATCAGCCATGTGGGGTTTTTTTTTTTTTTTTCTGTTTGATTTGGTTCTAGACGATGATGATGATGACGACTCCATTGTTGTACCAGCAGAGAGAGGTGTTGTTGGCGGAGAAAGCGTCGCTTGAGGTAGGTCTCGAGGATCTCCATGACAGAGACGAAGCGCTTCATCTCGGCGAGACGGCGGCTCAGATCGGCCTCTCGGGCCCTGGCTCGCTCCAGACGCGCCTCCGTGTCGGCCAAGCGGAGCCTCAGGTCTTCCACCACGGCGGCGTCGGTAGGCGGAGGACGAGTCCAGGAGGTGGGTAAGCATGAGTGTGTCCTATGATTTGTTTGGAAATGAAACCGGGTCCTGGAAACCGCCCGTGACTGAGAGGGATGGGTTCTGGGAGCAGGCTGACCCGTCTCCTGTCGGGTCGGGTCAATTGTCCGGGTTGGGGTTTCCTTCCGGTCTAACGGCAGACGTGATGGTGCGGACGTGACGGTGTGTAGGGGTCCGGCGGGCGGCCAAGACGAGACTGCCGCCCGCCAGTGAAGCAGAATGATTAGGTTGTTAACCTTGCTCTGATACCATGTTAAAACTCATGTATTATTGATTGATTGATACTACAAGATTATGAATTACAATGAAGAAAATGTGGTAGGTGTAGGAGTGAAGTGGAGGTGGTAGGTGGAGTGTGTGATAGTGGAGGTGGTAGGTGGAGATAAATTCTAACACACGATATGAATCGCTGAATCATTAAATCGTACGATTCATGACAGTCGCAGGTTGACCCAGATTTGTGAAGTAGGTGGAGAGTATGTGGATTTAGTGGGTTAGGTTTAGTGGAGTAGGTTTAAGTGGGTGAAGTAGGTGGAGAGTAGGTGGATTTTAACAATATTCTTAGAGGATGACCAATTGCAGTTTTATTTAACATATAGAGAAGAACAATGGGTATCAATTAGAAGCTGGTATGGGGTAAAGTTGAAGCTGGATAGGTTTTTCCAAAATGCCTTTTTTTTTTGGTGGGGGGTGGGGGGTGGGTCTTATTATTAATGATTGTCAAGAAACCTGTTTACTGAGAAACCCTTTATCTTCGTTACAAAGATTAGATACCATTGTTAATGAGTAAATGACTACAATATTTTGCCGTGATTGGTGGTCTTATATCTGTCTTGTTTGAATTTGGAAATATATGTTCTCTTATCATGGATGAACTAGCTTTAAGTTATTGCCAATTGCATCTCCGTAATTTATTATGTACATGTATATTCCCAAGTAATTGTTATCTGGCCTGGCAGGAAGGAAGTGACAGTGACCAAGAAAGCAATGATGCTACAGTGACATCCAGAAAACCTCAAAAGCGTGCTCGAGGTAACACTTCTAAAGGATCTGATGGGCTCTTTCTTTTGCGTTCCCAGCCGGTTGCATCAAGTTCTGGTTGTCTGTCATTGTTGAAGAAGAGGCGCTCTGGTGGTATGATCTTGTGCTTAGAAATAGCTTAGAGATCCATGTATATTCTTCTCTCTCTATCTCATGTTCCTGCAAGTGCATAAGTGCTTGTTTAAACTCTGATGGGGCATTTTAGTGAAGGAGCTCATGGATCAATTTACTGCTTTTTGTTTGGTGTTAGAGTGCTTGTATTGTAGCTGGGCTACTTCTTTTTGATGTGTGGCTATTGATTTGTTAAAATGGATCTAAGAGTTTTCATTAAAGCTTTGACACCTGATGGAAGCATGAGAAGCAGATTCTTTTTTGATAAATAATTAATCGAACTTCATTAAAAAAGCATCAAGATGATGCAAAGAATACGGAAAACCCCAAATGGGAAAACCAACTCCTAACCAATAACATCATCCAAAAAATCCAAAAAAGCAAACATATCCGGCTCAAACTTCCTCTCTAACCAACTATGCAAAACTATAAGGAGACGACTCTCAAGCCAAGAAACACTATGAAGAACATCCTGAAACGTCCATCTATTACGCTCCAATCACACTAACGACATTAAGCACAATGGTGCCAAAGTCCACACACGATGCCGTCGATGACCAACTCGAGCCCTGCCCCGCGCCAACTCCACATGCCCAACACCCCCCGCAATTGAACCCAAATAATCCCCAAAAGAGAACAAATAAATCTCCACAAACGGAAAGCCATAGGACAATGCAAAAACAGATGATCCATAGATTTTGCTTTTTCACAACACTTACAACACCAATTCACTAGAATATGACCACATCGCATCAAATTATCAATTACAATCCAAGGCCGCCGTCCTTATAAAAAAAGTCACCCTAGAAGGAACCCCCGGAACTCAAATACTCCTCCAAGGAAAATCCCTTTGCACTTTCCCCACCACACTCCACTAGAACAACGAGACAAAAAAACGCCCCTTAGACTCCACAGCATTCCACACCAATACATCCTCCCCCACCCTAGTCACACCTAACCCATATAAGTAACCCCATAACTCCACCAATTGATTAACCTCCTAATCCTGAACCTGCCGTTGTAACTGAATATTCCAAACCATCACATCTTCACCCTCTAAATAAGATGCCACCATAGCCTCCGATCTATCGCAATACTGAAAATCAAAGGAAAATGATTCCTTAACAAAGTGTCGCCACACTAGCTGTCCAAACGCCCCTTAGACTCCACAGCATTCCACACCAATACATCCTCCCCCACCCTAGTCACACCTAACCCATATAAGTAACCCCATAACTCCAATTGATCAACCTCCTAATCCTGAACCTGCCGTTGTAACTGAATATTCCAAACCATCACATCTCAACCCTCCAAATAAGATGCCACCATAGCCTCCGATCCATCGCAATACTGAAAATCAAAGGAAAATGATTCTTTAACAAAGTCTTGCCACACCACTTATCCTTCCAGAAATGCACCCTCATCCCATCACCCACCCAGAACCCTACCCTATCCTATTCTCCCCAACCAAATTCATTTCCATAACCCGCAACCATGAGAACAAGTCACATCCTCTGACCCTTATCCCCCCTAACTAGCCTATACTTAACAGCCACTACCTTCCGCCACATCTGCTCCGGCTCCGAAGCAAAATGCCACAACCATTTACCCAACAAAGCTTTGTTAAAAGTCACCAAACTCCAAACCCCCACCCCCCTGCCACTATAGATTGACAAATCCACCCCCTATCCACCAAATGATAGTTAAAATCCTCCCTCCCACTACCCCACAGGAAATCTCTTTGAAGCTTTTCAATCCACCGCGTCACAGACACTAGAATAACATGCAAAGACATGAAGGACATCGGAATGTTACTCAACACACTCTTGATCGAAGTCAGCCATCCCCCTTTTGAAAGATATTGCCTCTTCCAACCTGCTAGCCGATGTTGAATCCGCTCCACAATCCCTTCCTATACCACTTTTGCCTTAAACGTTGCTCCCAACGGTAAATCCAAATAAGTCACTGGCAAAGCCGACACTGCTGCTAACACTGGCAGTCTCTTCACCTTTCCTACTGAGATTAGCTCAGATTTCCTTGAATTCACTTGAAGGCTCGAACATGCCTCAAAACACAACAAAACACATCTCAAGTATCCTACTTGCTCCGCCACTGCCCCACAAAAGATTAGAGCATCATCTGCTTACAACAAAGTGAAACACACATAGATGCTTCTGTGAAAGCGCCCACCATAAAACCTTCCAGCAAATCTAAATGAACTGCTCTTTCCAACAATCTACTCAATGTCTTCATCACTAAAATGAACAATAAATGCGACAAAGGATCTCCCTGACGAAGACCTCGGTGTGTCAAAAAGAACCCCGCTGGGGTGCTATGAACCAAAACCTATGAAGCACGGGCACGGGTACAAGTACGAGTACTGGTACTGGTACTGTACGGGTACGTTGATACAGTCAAATTCAAAAAAAGTAGGGTGTGGGTATGGTTTGGTACACTTGTAAAAAAATATTTATTTTTAATTTAGAGTAATGTAAAAATTAATTAAATGATTTAATTTGTTAAGATCCAACCTATAATTAATTTAATGCCAAAAGTAAATGTATAAATCAAAATTAAATGTCAATATATTAAATAACTTACAAATCATAATTTAATTTTAAATCATACTAAGTATAAAATTAAAAATAAAAAAGAAGTATAGTGAAAGGAGTTTTATCTCTGTAGTAGAAGAAAATATTGTTTCAATTGAGGTACGGTACGGCTTAGATATACACCAGGTACGTCTGGGTATGTCAAAAATTAAGAAGAAAAATTTGGGTACGTGTTTCGTGTACCCGGTACATTATACGCCGGTAAGTACCCGGTATGGGTATATTATATGTTTCGAAGTACCCATACATCATAGACCAAAACCGACATCCTCACAATAAAAATACAAAATTGACACCACATATCCCTAAAACCCATGCGATTCAAAACATACAATAAAAACTCCCATCGAACATTGTCACTAGGCCTTTTCTATATCCAACTTGCAAATCAAACCGGGCCGCCCCTGTTGAATCTGAAAATCCACACACTCATTAGACGCCATGACTGCATCTAAAATTTGCCGAACCCCCACAAATGCATTTTGAGACTCAGACACAACCGCCTGCAAGACCCCTCAAAGTCTAATTGCCAACACCTTTGCTAGCAATTTATACACGCTCCCAAGCAAACTAATTGGCCTAAAGTCCTGGATGTCCTTGGCCCTCCCTTTCTTAGAAATCAGAGCCAAAAAAGTCGCATTGAAACTTCTCTCAAAATGCCCAGACACACAAAAAGCCTCCAAAACCGTCATCACATCTACCTTAACCACACTCTAACAATGCTGAAAGAATGCCATAGTAAAGCCATTTGAACCTGGAGCCTTGCCCTACTCATCATCCGCAAGGCCCTAAACACCTCCTCTTCAGTAAAAGCTCGCTCCACAGCCACCCTATCCGCATTTGAAATCACATCAAAATGAACCCCTTCCAGCGCTGGCCGCCACTCACCTTCTTGCATTCGAAACAAATTCTGATAAAAACCCACAATCCCCCCCTTAATCTCCTCTTCCGTGCTCAAATCTTGACCATCCACCCGCATCCTACTAATATGGTTCCTATTGGTGTCTTTTTTTAATCTATTTGTTTGAACTCTGAACTAAAATGATATGAGGCTTAATTATGGCAAGGTTGCCTCGAATTCTTCCCCCTGTTTTACTGAACTATGAACTAAAGTGATATGAGGCTTTTAACTATGGCAATGTTCTTTGGATTTTGCTACAGGAACTCGACCTCGTGCTGTGGGGAAAAGGACACCACGCTTCCCTATTTCCTATTCTTACGAGAAAATTAACGGGGAAAAGTTTTTCTCTCCAACTAGGCGAGGCTTGAAACTAAAGGTGGATGCTAACGATGATGATGTTGCTCATGAGGTAGCATTAGCACTGGCAGAGGCTTCACAGAGAGGTGGTTCTCCCCAAGTTTCTCAAACACCAAACAGAAGAACAGATACTGTTATGTTGTCACCGATTTGGAGTGGTGAAAGGATGGTAATATTCAATCATTATTTAAAGGATTTTGTAGCTTTCTCTAATATGCCCTTAAGAAATAATTTAATCGATTGTAAACTGCCTTTGGATATAGCGTGCTGAATTAGAATTGACCAGTGCCAAGCTCGGCAGTGAAAGGGATGAAGATGGTTTTGAAGGAAGCTTAGGAAGCATGGAAGCTGACAATGGAGATTTTGCTAGGGAGAGAAATTTTTTGATGAAAACTGAAGTTGTTGGTACTGCAGAAGCTAGAAAGGGAAGAAAGCTTCATGGAAAGAAGTTAGGAGTTGATAATAGTGGTAACCATAATTTAGATGACACTAAGGAAGCCTGTAGTGGGACAGAAGGACAAAATATTAGTTCTGTTAGAGAAAAGCTTGAATTTGAGGTTACAGATGGAAAAGTTGCACGGTCCTCTTCTCAAGTTTCAAGGAAGAAAAGTAAAAAGTTTCTTTTCAAAAAAGGTGTGTGAAAGTTTTTGGTTAAGTTATTAAAATTTTGGTTCTTTTTGTTTTCTTTAATTTTATGGGCTTTTTAGTGGGAATTTTTTTTTTGTTACATTCTTATTTCTTGGATCGAGAACTGTATCAGCTCTTTCACCATTTTCTTCAGGCATAAGCACTTGCTTATCTGAGTTGCTTTATTAGTTATTTCATGAACACAATATATATACGTATTTGTATTATTAGTTTGATGGAATATGGTTGGGTCATTCATAGAAGCATTTGTTTTTCTCTAAAAATATGTTGTCTTTTTTACTCGTTTTATTTTTTTTCTCCATTTATGTTGAAATCAATTTGCTGTTTTTATTCAATCACTGATTAAACATATGAGGTTGAGCACATTTGCTTTGTCTTCTTGAAAATTTATCCCAGCAAGATCAAATTGGTCAATAACTCTATCTTGGTTAGTATCGGAGTTCGTTTGGGATAATTTGCTACATATCCCAACAGATATTTGAGGAAGCAAGTACGATTTCATGTAATGGAATTCTGAAATTCAGTGATCTTAGATGATTCTGAGAAGTTGCATTAATGTATTTTGTCTTTGGTTTCTATCATTGGTTTTTGGGTTAAGTTGGTTGAGAGAAATGCTTGTGGGATTAGGGAGTGTTTTTACATGTTGCAGGATTGATAATGGGAACAATCCTAGTAAGTCCTACTTTTCCCACTAAAGTACCATTCAGTCCTATTAACACTATGTTGACTGAAAGACTAAATGACGTGTTTATATGTCTTCTCATTATCTCATTCACAATTGGTGATTTTCCTTCTGCTTTAGTTTCCATCTGTGGTGGAAATTTTTTTAATTTAATAACCACTCCAAAAGAGAACAAAAGGGGGAAAAAACTGAGTTGGTGCACAATTATATGGTATGTTGTGGCTGTTGTTTGGTATGATTGAATTGTTACTTATTAGATAGGGAAGTCGACACATAATTGTGGTGCCAATGGAGGAAGCGAAATAAATGCATTTTTCTATGAGAAAGAGTCGGCGATTCAAAAACTTAGAATGAGTCTGTTACACACCTTTTATTTTATTTTTAGAGGAAAGTGTTTTTTTTTTGGTTATCTGAGCTCAACTTTGGCATTGAGCTTTCTTAACTCTACTATTTATTTCTTAGGGTGCCCTCCTTTTTGATTATTTATGTATACACATTTATTTATAAAGAAATTAGTAGTGAAATAATGAAATTCTAGTTACAAATTTTCTAGAAAAAATAGACGAGGTTGTTTTTTTAACTAAATTAATAAATTTTATTATTTGTAATATAGTAATAATAATATTTTTTTCTATGTAAATTCTTAGACTTTATCATTTACACTTATATTTAATGAAATTGAGTTATATGACAATACAAAACAAATTTTGTAGATATATTATTATTTTTTATTTTTTATTTTACACGTTTTTATTTTTTTTATTTTATGTGAATGGCTATATAAATCTTAGTATATTCAATTAATCAATTTGGGTTCTATGTAGATTTCAATTTATGTTTCCAAAGCATTTCCATGTATTTTCAATTTCTTTTTGTCATTTCCAAAGCTAGTGTATGCCCGTGCCTAAAGGCACGGTGTAAATAAAATAAGTGAACAAAAAGGGAAAAATAAAAAAAATAAAGAAATAAGGAGGAAAATAAAAAAAATAAAAAGGGGAGAGAGAGAGAGAGAGAGTGAACAAAAAGGGGAGAAAAGAAGGTGGATGAGTGGGTAGGCGAGAAAGAGAGAATGCATGAGTGAATAAAAAAGGGGGGAAAGGTGGGTGAGTGGGAATTAAAAAAATCTTGACCCTAGGATGAATTTGGGAATTAATCTCAACCCTTGAAACAAAATGTATCTCTAAGATATTTTGACATATTTTCAAAAACCCTCTTGCTTTATTATGTAGATGTTTCCAAATGATTCTGTTTTCATGCTAATCTAAACAACATGCTGAAGTGAAATTTTGATCCTTGTGCAACACTCTTGGGCTACTCAGAAACCTCATTTACTTGGGAAGCATTTTGCTTGAAGTGCTTTTAAGCTCAATCTGAGATTCTGAGTGTAAGATGTTGAGCTTGTATTGCTATATAGGTCTCAAATTAGGGGGTGTGAGATTTCCCCATCTTTTGAAATCTGATCTACCAATACTTTATCAGATTGGATTGAAAAAGTCTCTTAATTTTTGCTAATTTTGGTTAGAACGAAAGAGGGTAATGACACTGATGAAGCGCCACACACATGCTTACACGCAAACATAGAGAGGGAGGGAGAGAGAGAGAGAGAGAGAGAGAGGGGAAGAGAGGGGGGGGGGCTTGTGATTTTGATAAATTGCAGCTAGCAAAGACTAATATTTGTGTGCATTACTTCGTGACAATGAAAATTGCATGTTCTTATTGATTGAGTTGGCATTTTAACTGCAAGTATTCATTCTGTTGACTTTGATGCTTCTCATTGTGTAGATGAAGGGTCTGCCTTCGATGCCTTGCAAACCCTGGCTGATTTGTCATTGATGATGCCAACAACAGCAACTGAAAATGGTAAGTCATATTGCATTTTGAAGTTTTAGCTTTTAGAGATTATATAGATGCCACAAGTAGGGCAAATTACATATACCTCCCTTGAGGTTTGGCTAAATTACAGATACCCCCTTGAGGTTTCAGAAATTACATCCCGGCCTCCTAAGGTTTGTATTTTTATAACAATTTGCCCCCTGAGGTTTAAATTTCATAACAAATTACCCCCTAATTTGTTATACAAATATAGCATTTAGGGTGGAATTTGTAATTTCTCAAACCTCAGGGGGTATTTGTAATTTAACCAAACCTCGAGGGGGGTTGTAATTTGCCCTCATTTTTTTTTATTTTTGTGAAAAAAAATCATGTGCTAGAGTCAACACAATCTAACTTGCATATGTTGTTTCAGCATCAGAATACATTCCTTATTAATTTTGCAGCCATTGCTTTGCCCTCTCATCTATCTCCAGCCGTAGTATATTTGGTGTAGTGCCCTTGGTTTGTCTCAAGTTTTTCCATTGTGTTTGAAACTTGAAAGTTATCTTCTTTCCCATATGTGTAATATTTAAAAAATTTTCCACTTAAGAAATGTGAAAACCGATATTTCTGATGATAAACAATCAGATGTGATATGTACATTGTAGTTCATAAACTACTATTTTATGTACTCTGACAGGGTAATGATGGAAATATAAAAATATGGATAGCACCATAATATGGAAGTGAACCCCAAAAGAACCTTCTCTGAAAGAGACAGTTATCAAAGACAAGTTGAACTATTTCAACACTTGCACCTCAAATTCTCATTGCATTTGCACTTCTCTTCTTTTGACATCACTAGCCTCCCCTTTTGAAAAACTTAGCATGTGCCTGCATTTATTCTTTCAGGTTTTTGGCCTGTAACCGCCCTCCTTTTGGACCACATATCATTGCAATTCTACTTTCAAGATTTTTCGATCGTGATTGCCAGTCTGCCACTAGCATCGTGAATATTTTTTTTAGCAACTAACACCAAAATATTAAACTGTTTCAAGGAATGTCGCCATCTTTGAATAACCACACTGGCAAATAAATTACTCCCTTAGGTTCTTATACCAACCATAGAAATTAACCATATTTTTTTTTTTGCATTAAACTGTGATACCATTCACAGAAAATTTTCTCAAGCTCTAACAAATTGTAGGACCACAATTTACAAAATCAACTCCACACATTAATGGTATGCCATGTTGTGAAGCACCAGACTAAGCCTTAAAAAATTAAGGACTTGAAATATTCATATTGCCCAACTGCCAGTTATGGTCATGAGAAAGCCAATTGAGAACTGTCTTTCATTGTAATAAAAAGTGGCTCTTACAATTCTCTGTTACATAGCTTTACATAAAGCCAATCATGATAGTTACTAACTAAACTAGGAAAGAAGTCACGAATCAGGAGCACTATTAAGTGTAAAGTCCCTAAACTAAAAAATAGCTACTAGAAGAAACTAAATAATATAATAAGGAATCCAGAAAGTTAAGAACACAATTGGATTGCTCTTTTATTGGGAAACCCAATTGGATAGCTTGGCGTACTCATATCTCCAACTTTGAGGATTGATCTTACTACCATAACTTTTGTTAGTTTCTGTTCTCTGAAAAATCCAACTTCAAGGAGTATTTTTTTCTTTTTTGTTTGCAATCTTATTCTTTTTATTCACCTTTTTTAGCTGGAAGTGATCGTGGCTGGCTATCCTGATCAATCATATTATAGTGTTGACATAAAGTTGCTTTTATTTCTTTTTGGCACTAGTGAATGCAAATGATACAACTAGTTCTCTACAAATAGTGGTTCAGCTGGGAATATTGTGGCTTCAAGATAGTAGGTTCAGTTGTTTAAACGTAAAAGATCAGAAGTGCAAAAATTTTGTGACCAGCTGGACAATATTCATCTTTTGAAAATTTTCCTAATTGACAATAAGATTTGGTATGTTGCTATGTCTTAGATACTCATAATTAGACATGAGCGGGGCCTTTCATTTTGTTATTATCTTGAAAGATTTTGTGCAAGCCCCAATATATATCTTTATATTACAACTTCTCATTCGGATTATTACATTGTTTCTTCATGGAATAATTGATTATTTGTCATAACTGAGAGAACCTCTTTGTCTATGTTCATCCGAACCCTCCAATGGGACTAAACTGGGTGTACCTTTTACTAGATTTCATATTTATTACTTTTTAACCTTCTCCTCTATGTGCGTTTGGCATTTGTGTTAATTTGTTCTTGGCATGTCCACAATAATTGGGGAATAACAGATTTCAGTCAAAGTTGCAAGATTTACGGATGCCGTCTTTTTAAGTTTTTTCGTTCGTTGCTGTTACTCAGATTTCATTCTATCCATTCTGGTCATTATAGTCTGAACCCATTGTTTTGATTGTTTTGTGTCTCAGAGTCATCAGTACCAGTCAAAGAAGAAGATGAGGGTCTTGTTGACAAGTATGGGTTCCTGGAAACTGTGCCTACAACCCGTCAAAGGGACAAGCCTAAATCCTCAGGAGTTAAAGTGAAAGGGAAATTGAGATTTGAAGCCACTTCCCTTAAAACATCAAAGCTTGGAAAAGTTTCAGTTTTTAATGTTAGTGCTATTCCTGAAGCAAAGGACGATCCTGAACAGTCTACTACTAAAACTTCAAGAAAGAAACCCAAGTTGTTGGGATCTAAAGTAAGAGAGGATGTTGTTTTTAAATAACACCAGTCTTCTTGTATTAATCTATCACTAATGCTGTGGATCTTCATCTGGTTTTTGGAATGGTGCCCTTAATGCTATAGCATTCTGTCTGCAGATTTCAAAAACCGGAACTCATATTGGTAATCAACCAAATGAATCTCAGGAAAATGAGGTTTGTTTACCTCTCTCTTTCTCTCCCATCATGAAAACTTTCTTAGGTGTGCTCTTTCACTGTTTTCATTGAATCAAATCACTTGGTTCTTCTCATTATTAACCTCTAAGAAGCACAGACACTTCTAAGAAGGTGACGTATCCGTGTCGTGTCCGCAGTGTTTTCATTGAATCAAATCACTTGGTCCTTCTCATTATTAACCTTATTGTTGATACCGAAATAACGCCTGACACTGATGGTTGCTCTTTTTTGGCATGATGTATGTCCCTTCTTTATTTGTTCACAAGGAGGAATTAGATAGCAATAATTTATTTTATCCTCTTGCTTCTTGTTTTGTATTGTTTTTTTGGTATGGTATCTCCATTTCCAGTTTATGACATTGATGATAATATATAAGTTCTGCACTTGGTTGTAGATTAGAGATGCAGGAAAGAAGTTAATGAGCAAGGGTAAACGCTCTTCTTATAATAATTCACAGCATAAACAAGGAAAATTGGTTAGACATCCAGAGAATTCTGCTTTAAATAATTATCCTAGAGGGGAAAAGGACGATCCAGCTCCATCAACTGTACAGATTCCCATTGCAAACCAGGTTAACTTACATACCAAAGTTAGGAGCAGGCGTAAGATGGAGCTACAGAAACCACAGAACCTGAGAGATTTAAAGTTCTCTGACAACCTTGTAGATGAACAACATAATTTGCCAATTCCTTCAATTCATGATGGAGCATCCAATCTTAAGGTTTCCATTTGTCTACATTTACATGGATTTCAGTGTCTTTAGTGTTCAAGTATATTATATATTTGATTTTCAATGCAGGAGAAGCTTTCTAATTGCCTATCAAATCATCGGGCAAGGAGATGGTGTGCTTTCGAGTGGTTCTACAGTGCTGTTGATTACCCATGGTTTGCTAAAAGGGAGTTTGTGGAGTACTTGAATCATGTTGGATTGGGCCATGTTCCAAGATTAACTCGTGTTGAATGGGGTGTCATAAGAAGGTATTTATCTTCCCGGTGTTTCCGTTTTGATAGTCTTCAAGCTTTTGCACTTGGCAGCACAAGTTGCCCATCTCTTTGGGCATTGTGCATGTAAGGTCCCACCTCAATGAGGGCACAAACTTTCCAAACTCAGATACCACGTGGCCTTAGAGAAATCCCCACATGACATTGGAAACATATACGATTGTGATGCTTTTGTTGGGGCAAGGTAGCCTACTTAATTTCTATCTTGAACTTGCTCCTAATGTGATTAGAAGTTTTCCAACCCCATCACAATTAGGGAAATTCTATTGGCACACCACACATTATCTCAGTATGCACCATTTGTACTATTTGGATATCAACTTTTGAGCAAAATACAAATGTTCAGATATCAACTTTCAGAAAAAAATCTATTGTTTGAACAAAAATCATGTTCAATAGTTGATATATGAGCAATTGATTTTTGCTCGGAAGTTGAGATCCGGACATTTGTATTTTATTTAGAAGTTGATATCCACAAATGGTGTGTACTGGGACAGTCTGTGGTGTGCAAATAGAATTGTTCATAACAATGGAACCAGGTGGGTTATGTGATTTAGGGGTGAATTACGATTCCTAGTAGTATGCACTTGCATTATGTTAGGCTTACACAGATCCTGGATATTGGTAGTGTCTGACACAGAACACTTCATTTTACATTTCTTTGTTAATGCAGTTCCCTTGGCAAACCACGGAGGTTCTCCAAGCAATTTTTGAGGGAAGAAAAGGAGAAGCTTAATCAATACCGTGAATCTGTTAGAACGCACTATACTGAACTTCGCACAGGTACCAGAGAAGGACTTCCGGCAGATCTTGTGAGGCCTTTATCAGTTGGCCAACGTGTTATAGCCATTCATCCAAGAACAAGACAGATTCATGATGGAAATATATTGACGGTTGATCATACCAGGTGCCGTGTTCAGTTTGACCAACCAGAGCTAGGGGTTGAATTTGTCCAGGTAGTGCGTTTTTTATTTATGTCATTTATGGCATCTCATATTCGTTATATATGGTTCAGATTTGTTTTGAATTCTGCATGTATTGATTAGTTCCGTAACAGTGTTGGCAACACTTAAGAAGTGTCAAGTTCTGTACTATAGAAATAAAAGTGTGTTGGAGGGACCCTTTATATGTACCCTTTTGAATTTTATTTTCCTTTTATAGCATCTTAACTTGTTGAGAAAGCAGTAAATTAAAGGTAAAATCATGTTTTATTTTTCAATTTAATCATGGATTTTTTTATGCAGACCATTCTTTTTCTTTCTTCCATTTTGTTTGTTGTTTCCCTTAAGTGGCATGTTCTGACACCTCCATTGTTGCAGGATATTGATTGCATGCCTTTAAAACCGTCAGAGACTATGCCCACATTGTTGGAAAGAAACACAGTGGCCATTGATAAATTCTTTGAGAACTTCAGTGAGCTAAAAATGAATGGGCAGGCCAAGGATCAGAAACCAGCAGGGAATGTGAAATTTTCTCCTGGTGAAAACCTGGAACATCTTGATGTTCCTTCTCACATGTCTCCAGCAACTTATTCATTGAGTAACATGTTAAAGCAGGCTAAGGTTGGTAGTACCTTACTTTAATTGTTGCTTGTATGCATATCCAATAGGACTAAGATTTGGCACCCTTTAACAACACACAAAGTTATATTAGAACCCAATAAATTGAAGGTAATGTCATTTTGCATTTTCACAAGGTAGATTGTGCATGGTGAAGATTCTAATTGTGATTTGGCGAGCATTTGTTCAGCTGTCAAATCCAGATCAGAAGAGCTTCTTGTCTCATCTTTCTCTCTTTTATCTGCACTGGATACGACCTTTGCTGATACTTTCATATATGAAATTTATTTCCGAGTTTTCATCACTTTTGGATGTTTTTCACAGTTTATGTAATTCTTGAAATATTTTGTAAATCTACTTTCAAAGCCTTATCTCAACAATTTAGGACTACATTAATGTTTGTTGGGCTGGGCTTTCCTTCCAATCTATGTAACATCATCGAATGTATCTTTCTTGATAAATGTGTAATAAATTAAAAAATGCCTCAAGGGGCATGTAAGAAATAATGTATAGAGAAAGAGAGAGAATAAATTGTATGTATTATTATTGATTGATATATTGATGTTAATTACAGATGGTGAGGTACTCATTATATAGGAGAGGATTGGGGAGTAGGTGAGTGTGTGTGGTAGGTGAGTTGAGTGGAGGTGGTAGGTGATGATATATTTTAACAGGGCACACCCAAGTATATGCTAAATGTGTAATAAATAGAAAGGTGACAGAAGGGTGCATCCAAGTATGCACAAAAATAAACAGGAATTGAACTGAAATTAGAAAGGCAGTTAAGCAACATAAACATACGTGTACATCAGGCACATCACGAATAAACGGAGTACGAGGAGCTTGAAAAGACAGTCAATTTCTTATTTTGAAATGACATTGTGTTCCTTTTCCTTCATAAACACCAAACTATGAAGAAGGGCTAGAAGGCCACATTACAAATTGATCTCCTTGATGGACTTCTCTTGCCCTTCTGCCTCTCCATATTAACACCTCCAACATTTTCTCACTATCTCATACCCATTCAACCTCTAAGAATGAGAATAAAACACCATAATACAATTTGTGCACTCCTGATTAGATTATTGATTGTGAGGATCTTCTCACAAGCTGCCGTCCAAGCAAAGACAGAAACCTTGGAAGGTACTTTAACTTTCTGAGCAAAATATTCCAGTATACAATGGTCATCTTGTTTTATTATGTGAATCATGTCCTTGTAACTCACTGCTATAGAAGAAATGTACACTTAAAAAACATCTAACTGCATTAAACTGTAAGATTATCTGAAGGAATATTTTTTGGCCAGGGGGTTCCTACAAATTTTAATTCACAAGCTAAAATTGGATCCAAAGAAACTGCCAACAATCAGGAAGCGGCAAACTCTCAGTCTTCTACTCTGGCACAGATCCAGGCAAAGGAAGCTGATGTGCAAGCTCTTGCTGAGCTGACTCGTGTTCTTGATAAAAAGGTTGTAGCACTTGAAACTATTTTATGCATATTTTAAAGTCGTTTTCTACTTGCAACAATTTTCCTTTCTGCTGAAAACCCAAGATATTTTCATATTCATTTTTGAGGTTTCACATATGCTATCCTTGTTAATTTCCCAACTTCTTGTTGCATTGATACTATATTCTTGTTAACATGGCTGCTTTTGCATTCCGGTAAAGTCACAAATAACTTTACAAACCTCTACGGGATTTGGATCAGTGGTGCCTGCTTTCATTAGCATGATAATATGAACTTGTGTAGAGTTGAGAATCATGTAGATTGGAGTGGGATTGAAAGAAGTGAGGGACGGAAGAGAGTAGAGGTAGAAGTGGAGAATCATCTAGAATTCTTCTCAGGCTAGATTTCAAGCAACTTGCTTTGCCTATATTGACTCTGCTGGAAATTTGTGTTAATGCATATAATATGATAGTGGTGTTGGTGGTAGATAGTGGCATGTATAGAATATGATAGTGGTGTTGGTGGTAGATAGTGGCATGTATAGAATATGATAGTGGTAGATAGTGGTAATATATAATATGTAAGTGGCATATAATGGGTTATAATGATGTTTGTAATATCTCCTATATAAGGAGTGTCATTTGGTCTTGTAAAATAAGAAGTTTTGAATATAACAGAAATATATTCCTTCTTCCTCATATTTTCGGAGTTCTTCTTCCTCATATTTTCTAAGTGACTCCATTGTAATGAGGCTTTCAAATTGATGTATGATTCCAAATCTAAGCTATTTGCATCTACATATATTCCTTTTTAATTCATCAAGCCAAACGCATACCACAGGTTCACAAGATTAATTTATCATGCGAAACAACTTGTACGAAGTTCAAAGAAAAAGGAAATTTATTTCAAAATTTAAGCATATTTAAAAGATTGGTGTTTTAAAAAATTAAATATGTCAGTGTTGTTTCTGATGTTTGGATAATATCATATATATCCATAGACTCTTCATCTTCATTAAATTTGGTTCTAATTAGAAGTTAAACCTCTTAAGGAAAATCATGAAATGGAACCCATTCAAATCTATTTTCTGGCACCCTTCTTCCATATTGTGTAGGTCCTTGAAGGGGTTGTTTGAGAAGGCAAATTTGGAATGTTCTGGTAAACTATTACAGCAAAGTTCCTCTGATAATTCTGATATTAGCAAGCTCAGCTGCTATTTACCTATAAAGCACGGGTACGGGTACGAGTACTGGTACGATATAGGTACGTCGATACGGTAAAATCCAAAAAAGTAGGGTACAACTTGGTACGTTTGTAAAAAAATATTTATTTTTAATTTGGAGTAATGCAAAAATTGATTAAATGGTTTAATTTGTTAAGATCCAACCTACAATTAACATTTAATGCCAAAAGTAAAGGTATAAACCAAAATTAAATATCATTATATTAAATAACTTATGAACCATAGTTGAATTTTAAAATCATGCTAAGTATAAAACTAAAAATAAAAAGGAAGTGTAGTGAAAGGAATTTTATCTCTGTAGAAGAAAATAAAAAGAAGTGTAGTGAAAGGAATTTTATCTCTGTAGAAGAAAATAAAAAGAAGTGTAGTGAAGGAATTTTATCACTGTAGAAGAAAATAAAAAGAAGTGTAGTGAAAGGAATTTTATCTTGGTTTGGTTTGGTTTGGTTTAGTAGAAGAAAATATTGTTTCGATTGAGGTACGATACGGCTTTGGTATATATTAGGTACTTTTAGGTACACCAAAAATTAAGAAGAAAAAATTTGGGTATGTATTTCGTGTACCCAGTACGTATATAGAAATACCATACAAAGTATCATACGCTGGTAAGTATCTAGTACAGGTGTGGCATGTTTGTTGAAGTACCCATGCTTTATAGGTATTTACAATATCAATAGTTGATGGGATTTAAATGCTTTTACCATTTGGTTTGTATTTTGCTGTAATATGTTTCATCAAGTATTTATTTTTAAATGATATAAAAGATTTTAATTCTTTCTAATAAGAAGCTCCATAAAAAACTTATCTAAAATAAAGTCCACTCATAGAAACTTGCCAAATCATCCTATAAAAATTAGTAGTTTCGAAATTGAGTTGATGGGCCGTCTTGGAACTTGTAGGAAGCTGTGGTGTCTGAATTGAGGCACATGAATGATGATGTGTTAGAAAACCAAAGGGATGGTGACAATGATTTAAAGGACTCAGAGCCTTTTAAGAAGCAATATGCTGCTGTACTTGTACAGTTAAATGAAGTAAATGAGCAGGCACGTGGTTTCCATGAACTAATATTCAGTTCTGCTCATTTTTATTTTCAATTAGATAAATTTTCTCATGAAGCGATTGTTAAATTCGATCAACTTAATTGGCAGGTTTCTTCTGCTCTTTGTTGCTTGAGGCAACGCAACACCTACCTAGAAAACTCTCCATTTACATGGTCAAGGTCCAACGCCAATTTAGGGGACTCTGGTGGCTCCTTGAGTTCATTGGATCAGTCTGCAAATCATATGCAGGAATCAGAATCTCATGTCCATGAAATTGTTGAAAGCTCTAGAATAAAAGCTCGAACAGTGGTAGATGCAGCTATGCAGGTACATAGTGTCCTTTTGATTGCACATCTGTAATAACCTTTTTGAGTCATTTGGTATTTGTGTCTCATGATAAAGGTGGAAGGATATACAGTATACCCACAAATAATGAGTAGTTTTATGTTTCTTTATGATTTTCAATCATAAAAATATTTGTTCTGCATATTTTCAATTCATGTATTATCAAATTTTGTTTGTACAAAGGCTTCTAATTCCGTTCTTTGCTAGTAATAAATATTTATTGCTAATTATTCCTGTATGATAGATATATCTGTTCATGTGTATTTTCCTACTCTAATAATTAATATTATAAACGTATTTTCTCAAAAATATTATTTAGGAAGTGATAGAATTATTAATTATACATACACAGTGGAACAAAGTTGGTTTCTCATAAATTTATTAATTAATGTTCTTAAATTATAGAATGTTGACTATAAGAGGGTCAATTATATTCTTTCCGTATCTTTGACTTGTTTCATACCTGAGACCTTTTCTAGACATTTTTAAGTAACATTTGCCTGCCTGTGCTTAGATCCAAAGTTGACACATATCATTGGAACTTTTATCATATTTTGCATTCATCTTATTGTGAGGTGTCTTGTATTTTTTGTAAACTTTATCTTGCGTTCTTGTTTCTTGTGTGTGCTTGTTTTTTTTATTTACTGCTCTATTGTCTGATTGGAACCATGATTCTGCATAACACATCTCCCGATTCTACAGCTTTTAAATGCAGCACCTTTCGTCCAGTCGTTTTAAATGCTCATTCCTATTGTTGAAATGGAATTTACTTTGTGAGAACATGAACTATTTTATTAGTATTTTTATACTTCTGAAACTATGATGTGTGGTTTCATTGAAACTTTAGAGCAAGCATTGTGATGTGTTAATGCTTGTCATTCACCCAAAAAAGTGTTAATGCTTGTCAGAACCTACCACTCGCCGTCACCGCAACCAAGACTTGAAATCCTGGTTTGGCTTAGACACTTGGTCAGATTTGCTTTTGCTTTTTCTATAGGCTAAAACCCTAAACCTTTTCCAACAGAGTATAATTAGTGGATTCTTGCACCATAGGTTGCCTAGTAATGTAAATCATTAATCATGGGATAATTCTATTTACACACTATCAAATCACTCAGTGCACACTATTTTCTCAATACACACCACACACATTTTTAATTTTTGATTTCTTCTCACTTCACACCATTAATTTTCAAAAAATCCTAAATTACCCTTATGTTATTCAACTCTCTATCCCTATCCCTATCCCTAACCCTAACCCTAACCCTAACCCTAACCACCACCACCATTGTTGGCTGCCACCCCCTTCAGTCACCGCCCCTCCCCTCCGGCTTTCACCTCCTCTCGTAGCTGCCCTTACCCTCTCTAGCCTTCATCATCTTTATTCTATACCTTCTCTAGCCTTCATCATCATCTTTCTTCTCCTTTTGTCGCCGCCCCTACCCTTGCGATTTCCAGCAGCAAGGAGGAGAGTTGCGGCGGCGGTAGGAGGTAGCACCATCACTCCCCTTCTCTCCTCTTCTTCTTCTTCTTCCAAAAACCTAACCCTAGATTTAGATCTACCACCGCTGCAAACCCACATCACCACCCACCAGGCACCGCTGCTGCCATCACAGCCCACCAGCCACTGCCACCCCCTTCTCTTCTTCTTCTTCTCAAACTTTAGATCTGTTGCTGCTGCCAGATAGCAACCCTCCCACCACCGCTGCCAGATTGCGACCCACCGCTACCGCTATCTGAAAACCCTAGATCTAGGGTTTAGGAGAGGTGAAGAAGAAGAAGAAGAAGAAGAAGAAGAGAGAGAGAGAGAGATGCGAAGAACAAAAGGAGACGGGCTGGGGAGGCGACCGGCGAGTATGATCGTGATAGTGGGTGTTGGTGGCCGGAGGAGGGAAGCAATTGGCAACAGGCGGAGGCTAGTGGTAGGTGGTGGAGTCCAAAGTGATAATATGATAAAGGGATATAAGTGTAATAAAAAAAAATTATGGAAATGGTGTGTATTGAGAAGTTTGATGGTGTGTAAATAGAATTTCCCTTAATCATGTGTAAATTCTTGACCTCTTAGCTCTGATATGGCTTGCTAATTCTGATTAGTGTTTCCTCTTAATAATCATTTTAGGCAATGTCATCATTGAAAGGAGGTAGAAATACCGTTGAGAGGATTGAGGAGGCTATTGATTATGTGAGTAATCAACTTTCATTGGATGATCCTTGCATGATGCCCATGAGACCTTCTACCCCTGCCGATCCAATTCATGGCGGTTTGGCTTCTCAGGATCAGTTGACTTCCTGCACATTGAGTTCATTACATGCACCTGAACTTAAGTTGAAGACCGAGGCAGACAGAAATGAAGCACAGATCCCATCGGAACTTATCAGTCACTGTGTATCTACTTTATTCATGATTCAGGTAAATTTGAATACGTGTTCCAAAGTTATATATGCAGTTTTGTTGCTGCTTCTGTTATTTTTCTTAGTTGTACTCTAACTTGCAAGGTACAATCTTTTAATACGACACTTTTAAATTCTTCTTTTTAAATGCCTATTTTACACCTCAATTTGCATTTATGATCAATTAGTCATCATTTATCTGGACCTGATATGTTGTAAAGGATTGGTAGGAATTATTCCATAGTTGGAATTGTTATTTACTTTTATTATATTCTTTTCATTATACTCCCTCCATCTCAATTTGTTTGTTTGTCTGGCATGGAAAATAAGAGCTTAAAATGCAGTATTGTTGTACCAACATTTTCTTTTTCGCAAATTAACAGATCTCATGAAGTACTTTTAATTTGTAATGATAAAATTGAAAATTTTGACACAAAAATACATTATTATTTTTTAGTTTTCCGTGTCGGACAAACAATTTGGGGCTGAAGTAGATTATCTATGATGTCAGTGCGATGGCATGGTTCAACACATCAACCTCAACGGTTGGGTTGTTGGACTATGAAGCAGTTCCTTTTATGGGTCAGGAAGTTGAATGGATTCCAAGACCTCAATTAAATGAGATCCGTACAAATTACATGTTTTTCAACTTGTACCAATCTAATGCTGGATTTCTATTATTATTATTATTTTACATTATCCTTGATGCCAGGTTTTATTTTCTTAACCAATTGCAGAAATGTACGGAACGACAGTTTCCACCTGCCGATGTGGCCCGGATGCTCGATTCTGCTGTCACTGGTTTGCAACCATGCTGCTCGCAGAACCGTCCGATCTATGCTGAGATACAAAAGTGCATGGGAATCATCAGGAACCAAATATTGGCCCTCGTACCCACCTAGTCTCTTTCCTGTTGAATCCTCACATCTTTGTGTATATTTGTAAACGCAGAGAGTAAAGATGGTATTTGTATAAGCTCTCAGATTTTCCTCACATCTATGTATATTTGCAAATGTAGAGAGTAAAGATGGTATTTGTATAAGCTCTCAGATTTTGAACTTGTTAAAATAGTTTCATGATTTTTTTTTTAAAATTATTTATTTCCCTTTGATTTGAATAGGCATCAATACATTGGAATGTAACTTTGTAAAATCTTTTTTCAGTATATGATGTTTCACTTCTCTCTATTTCCTTTGCATTGTACATAGAAGAGGGTTTCCCTTAAAATTTACTTTTTTAAATTTCTCCCTTTTCGCGATGATCAAACTAATTTGATCCAACTTGATCAGTTACATACCTTTATGGAATCTCCTTTATGCAATCTCATGATCGCGTAGTAAGATTATTGAATAAATTTTTTATAAACCAAAAAAAAAAAATATTTTAAAAAAATCAACTTAATATTAAGCTTTCATAGTATCAATTTTACCCATTTAATACCAATATATATAAAAGGTAATTTACATTGATCACTCTTCAAATTTATGAAAAATACAATGAATTTTATAAATTTAATATAATTACATCAATTGTTATTTTAGTAAGGTTGAAATAGTTGAAACTAATGTTGGTGAGTGTAGATATATGAATAATTAATGGCAAAATTTACACTTGATAATATATTTTTTTCATCTATACGATTGACAAAAAATTAATAAAAAGATTTCAAAATGTTATTGGTAATTAAACTTTAGCGGAGCACAATATAATTATTACAAACTTGTGAGACTTGACTAACTTTCTTTGAACATCACGAGAGAGCATAGTACTCATAAAATAAAAGAAAAATTCTATTTATACCACAATTTTACCTCTTTATACCTAACTTTTCATTACACCATTAAGAAATAATAGAAATTCTCATTGCATCCTTTATAATACCAAAACTAATCTTAAATTAAAGAGTGAATTACACCAACGGTCCTTATAATTTGGGGTTTGTGTCACTTTGGTCCTTGATTTTTCAATTGTGACACATTTGATCATAAATTTTGAATCTTGTTCCAAATAAGGACAATTGAAGATACTATTAGATTTTTCAAGGACAAATTTGTCAATTTGATAAAATATAAATTAAAAATGTAGAGAGTAAAGATGGTATTTGTATAAGCTCTCAGATTTTCCTCACATCTATGTATATTTGCAAATGTAGAGAGTAAAGATGGTATTTGTATAAGCTCTCAGATTTTCCTCACATCTATGTATATTTGCAAATGTAGAGAGTAAAGATGGTATTTGTATAAGCTCTCAGATTTTCCTCACATCTATGTATATTTGCAAATGTAGAGAGTAAAGATGGTATTTGTATAAGCTCTCAGATTTTCCTCACATCTATGTATATTTGCAAATGTAGAGAGTAAAGATGGTATTTGTATAAGCTCTCAGATTTTCCTCACATCTATGTATATTTGCAAATGTAGAGAGTAAAGATGGTATTTGTATAAGCTCTCAGATTTTCCTCACATCTATGTATATTTGCAAATGTAGAGAGTAAAGATGGTATTTGTATAAGCTCTCAGATTTTCCTCACATCTATGTATATTTGCAAATGTAGAGAGTAAAGATGGTATTTGTATAAGCTCTCAGATTTTGAACTTGTTAAAATAGTTTCATGATTTTTTTTTAAAAATTATTTATTTCCCTTTGATTTGAATAGGCATCAATACATTGGAATGTAACTTTGTAAAATCTTTTTCAGTATATGATGTTTCACTTCTCTCTATTTCCTTTGCATTGTACATAGAAGAGGGTTTCCCTTAAAATTTACTTTTTTAAATTTCTCCACAAGCGAAGATATTAGAAATTAGTCTTAGGGCAAGTTTGGAAAGTTACAATGATAATAAAAAAGTCACTAAAAAAATCAAAGAATTATATAAGAAAGTTAAAAGATTTATTTTTTTCTCAATTTTTTACATTTTTTTTTGTGTGGGTAGAAATTCAAAAAATTATTTCAAACATATTAATTTTTTTTATTTTATATTTTAGTTAAAAAGTTAAAAAATTATTAAAATAATTTATTTCAAACCAATCTTTACTAACTTAACACTTCTATGTAATCAAGTTAACTTGAACCAACTTGATCACTTACAATCTCCTTTTACGCGATGATCAAACTAATTTGACCCAACTTGATCAGTTACAGACCTTTATGGAATATCCTTTATGCAATCTCATGATCGCGTAGTAAGATTATTGAATAAATTTTTGATAAATCAAAAAAAAAAAAATATTTAAAAAAAATCAACTTAATACTAAGCTTTCATAGTATCAAATTTACCCATTTAATACCAATATATATAAAAGGTAATTTACTTTGATCATTCTTCAAATTTATGAAAAATACAATGAATTTTATAAATTTAATATAATTACATCAATTGTTATTTTAGTAAGGTTGAAATAGTTGAAACTAATGTTGGTGAGTGTAGATATATGAATAATTAATGGCAAAATTTACACTTGATAATATATTTTTTTCATCTATACGATTGACAAAAAATTAATAAAAAGATTTCAAAATGTTATTGGTAATTAAACTTTAGCGGAGCACAATATAATTATTACAAACTTGTGAGACTTGACTAACTTTCTTTGAACATCACGAGAGAGCATAGTACTCATAAAATAAAAGAAAAATTCTATTTATACCACAATTTTACCTCTTTATACCTAATTTTTCATTACACCATTAAGAAATAATAGAAATTCTCATTGCATCCTTTATAATATCAAAACTAATCTTAAATTAAAGGGTGAATTACACCAACGGTCCTTATAATTTGGGGTTTGTGTCACTTTGGTCCATGATTTTTCAATTGTGACACATTTGACCATAAATTTTGAATCTTGTTCCAAATAAGGGCAATTGAAGATATTATTAGATTTTTCAAGGACAAATTTGTCAATTTGATAAAATATAAATTAATTTGACAAAAATAAATATCACAAAATTATTTTTGAATTTTTAAAAATTATTTCTACTTGCTAAAGATAAAATTATATAAAATTGATAAATCTTTTAGACATTTATTGTTTTTTTACCAAATTAATTTTTATTATATATTTGGATGATGATCATGTAAAATTAATTTTTAAAAATTAATCATGTAATTTTTATTAATTGTTTTTATCAATTTTACATAATTTTATCTTTGGTGGGTAGAAATAATTTTTAAAAATTTTAAAATATTTTTTTGACATTTATTTTTGTCAAATTAGTTTATATTTGATCAAATTGATAATTTTGCCCTTGAAATTAAGCAATGGTATGTTCAATTGTCCTTATTTAAAACAAGATTCAAAATTCAGGATCAAATGTGTCACAATTGAAAAGTCAGGGACTAAAGTGACGCGAGCTCCAAACTATAGGGACTGTTAGTGTAATTTGCCCTAAATTAATTTTTTTTTAAAACCTTTATAGATTTTTCTCATTTCACCTATTCCTTTTGAATTACTCCGGTGTTATGTTACTGAACAAACTATATTTGTCTAGCCATCTGTTACAGCACATTCACAGATTCATTTTCTTCAAAACATTTTTTTTTCTAAATTTATGATGGGCCTGTTTGGTTATACATTACCAAATAATTTGGATTATTTCGGCGTCATGTTGTCGAACAAATAAGATTTGTCTAGTCATCTGTTGCCGCACGCTTACAGATTCACTTTTCTTAAAACGTCAAGTATCCATCTATAAAAACATTCATAAAATTTTTCAATACACATATTTTCAAATTTGTCAATACAAATATCTATAAAAACACATTGAGATGTTATCATAATTCATCTATATTGATAATTTTGACAGCTGCTACATCAGGGCTAACAAGCGTACATAATTGATCAATAAAGGTAGTATACGCTTTCTCTCATCCATTAGCACATGGGTGATGAAAATGAATATAATTATTTGCTTTCGAGGAACTAGATAACTAGAAAGTAGATAAATCTAACAAATCATTAACATTGTACTACTAGGCTTACTCCAATGAATAGAAGCATAATCCTTCAACGCAAAAAAAAAAAAAAGTTAGAAAAATGAAACTAGAAATGTTTAGCAATAAGTTACCAGACATGTACTTTTTGGTTGGCATTAGGTTACTGAATAAGTATTTTTTGTTTGGTAGTGGGTTACCGGATATGTATTCTTTTGTTCAGCAGTCTGATTCCAAGCTATTTGTTTGATTTTGGTACATTGAACAAAATTCGAAATGGAAACATAAAAAATAAAGAAAAAAAACCCACTATTTCACTTTTTTGCTGGTCTTTCATCACAATTTTTTCGTCTATTATTTTCTTTTATGATCAAAATATTATAATTCTCACTTTTTGAAAGTAGATGTATAGTAACAAAGAAGAAATGAGAAAAGAAGTAGGGATTGAAGTGTAATGAGTGTAAAAAGATAACTAAATCTATTTAATTTTTATCTTTTGTCTTTAAAGTTAATTTCACACGTGGGTAAAATTAGAAAAAAAAAAAAAAATCTCAAATGGAGGGTGGAAAGATGTAAATGTGTTGCGTAAGTAGAATTTCCGAAAGAGGGTTGCTATTAGCACCTACCTAATTTCTTTGGACTCCTGGTTTCCTTTATTTTATTTTATTTATTTATTACATCTATACCTTGAAGTAAAATTATATTAAAAGATAATCTTTAATGGAACACCTACCCACCAAATGAAGACAATTAAAATGACACTCTACAATATTGTACACCGACGTCCACCCCTACCTAAATGTATTCCTCTAAACCCTAAGCATATTTCTTTTCATCACTATCCTAAACCCTAAACATATTCCTTTCCATTACCATCATAAACCCTAAACTAGAAATCAGTAGTTGAAGTTCAACGTTCAAGTCATTTCAAATTGTTATACTATTCATACCACATATCAGTTATTTCACTATTCGTTGATACTTATAGAGCAACGGAGGAAGATGACAATAATTCTGGTGAGGTTGGCATTACATTAAAAAGTTTATCTTTCTGGCATTAATGATTCTTGATCATTTTTAATGGTTGTTGTTTTGTTTGAGCTTGTTCACTACTGGTTTGCCAACTATTAATATTTTGTTTGGTAACACAGTGCTAAAAAGAAACATTTAGTTTGGTCGATGGGTTTTGAACAAAACCTTTATTTTCGGCACTAGTATGCCGAACGG